AATATTCTCACGAAGTTTTTACTATCTTTTAGCACAATTCAGCCAAGAAGATATTTTGGTTTAACCGTCACTAGTTTTAACTCAATTAATTACATAACCTCACGGAGTATTACTGTCACGACCCTAAACCCAGACCCGATCGTGATGGCGCCTCTCGTGAAGACAAGGCCAGCCGACACATTTCCAATTCGAAGTTAAACAGCTAAACAACAATAAAACAGGCTAAAACATGATTTAATAGCACTAAGTAGCAGATAATATCATAACAATGCGGAAGTACAACCCAAACACAGTCCAAATCGGGGTGTCACTAGTCATGAGCATCTACTAAGGTCTAAATACCACTCACAAAGTCGGATGTGTACTAAGTATAGACTAATAGAATAAAGAGGGAGAAAAGCAATGCTGCGAACGCCGGCAACTACCTTGCTAAACTCCGATGACTCTGCCTCCGATCAACCAATACCCGCTACCGGGTTCAGAAAATACCTGAATCTGCACACAAGGTGCAGGGAGTAAAGTGAGTACTTCCAACTCAGTGAGTAATAATCATAAATAAAGTCCGAGTGATAAGAAATCACAAAAAGTGCACCAACATGCTGTATAGAGGTAGTACAAAACCAGTAAGAAAGCAATGAAGCTGTGAAATCTCTTAAAGCGTCTTAGCTCAGGTTAAACTTCTTCAAAAATGGATTTTCAACAGTTGAGCAATTGAATGCAAAGCAACTAGAACAGATAAGCATAAGGAATACGCCCCTCGGGCACAATTACACAACTAAACAGGTAAATGACAGGTAAATAAGACAGATAAACACATAAAGGTTCGCCCCTCGGGCACAATGTCAACAACTCTGCCCCTCGGGCAATATCTCAGATCAATACCAGCCCCTCGGGCAATCACATAGAACCATACCAGCCCCTCGGGCAATCATGTAGAACCATACCAGCCCCTCGGGCAATCACATAGAACCATACCAGCCCCTCGAGCTATATCTCACATCACAATGGGTACCCGCGCTCACTGGGGGTGTGCAGACTCCTGGAGGGGCCCCTTACGGCCCAAGCGCAATATCAAGCCACCTCGTGGCATCATAAACAGGTTCTCGGCCTCATATTAATATCAAGCCACCTCGTGGCGTACAATCTCAGGCCCTCGGCCTCATAATCAAAATCAGTGTATCACCGCTGCGGCATGCAGCCCGACCCAAAAGATATCCTCACAACACAGGCCCTCGGCCTTACTCAGTCAAAATCACATAAGCCTCTCGGGCAACAGTAAAACAGTGTTTCTCAGCACAAAACATCATTTAAATATCATTTGAGTATTAAAATTGAGTGAACATGGCTGAGTTTCGAAAACAGAGGAAAATAACAAGACTGAGATCAAGTATAAAGTCAAAACAGTGAGGAAATATCAACAAAAATCCCCGAAGGGTTCAAATAATCAGCACGAAGCCCAAATATGGCATTCAGCCCAAATAATAATGATAACAAATAGATTTCAGTTAAATACGCGGAAGAATCATCAATCGGGACGGACCAAGTCACAATCTCCAATAGTGCATGACCCCACGCTCATCATCAAGCGTGTGCCTCACCTCAATATAGCACTACGATGTGCAATCCAGGGTTTCAAACCCTCAAAACATCATTTACAATCATTTCTCACCTCGATCCGGTCCAAACTCTAGACCGCGATGCCTTTGCCAGCACGAATCGACCTCCGGATGCTCCAAATCTAGCCACAATCAGAACATAATCATTAAAATATGCTAAGGGAACAATGCCCACTCGAAATTATCCAACTCACATGAAAACAAAATCCCGAAATTGCTCAAACCCACCCCCCGGCCCATGTCTCGGAATCTGACAAAATTCACATCAATAGAATCCTCGTCCTCACACGAGTCTATACATACCAAGAACATCAAAATCGGACATCAAATGCACATTCAAATCCTCAAAAGAATTCTCAACTTTTTCTTTCATTCTTCCCCAATTTCCACTCTAATTTCTCAAATTAAATGATGAAATTCAAGACTAAATCATGGAATTAAACCAAATATGAGTGAAGGTTACTTACCCCAATAGCTCCACTGAAAATCTCCTCAAATTTCACCTTCTCCCGAGCTCTTCAATGGTTTTTATGATATTGGACTTAAACCCTCGATTTTAAAATATAAACTGTCTGCCCAGATTTTCCTTCATCGCGAACGCGGCATATCCCTCGCGTTCGCGAAGCATACTGCTTCACAGACCAAAATTTCCTTCTATGCGGACGCGAGACCCTCTCGCGCACGCGAAGCTTCCGCTTCCCATACCATCGCGAACGCGACCTCTTAATCGCGAACGCGAAGCACAAAAGGGCTAGGACCCCAGCTGCTCCATTTACTCTACGCGAATGCGGGAACCTCATCGCGTTCGCGAAGCACTCAGGACCTCACCCTAAGCGAACGTGAAGGCCAAATTCTCAGCCTCATCACGCATCCCTTCGCGAACGCGAAGGCCAAAAGTCTGCAACACCAACATCAGAAAATCTGCAACTCTCCACAACAAGATTTGATCCGTTCAACCACCCGAAACTCACCCGAGGCCTCCGGGACCTCAACCAAACATGCCAACATATCCCAAAACCTCATTCAAACTTGTTCCAACCTTCGGAATGCTCAAAACAACATCAGAATACCAAATTCACATCGGATTCAAGCCTAAGAATTTCAAGAACTTCCAAATTATACTTTTGATCAAAAACCCAACCAAACCACGTCCGAATGACCTAAAATTTTGCACACACGTCACAAATGACACAACGGAGCTACTGCAACTTCCGGAATTTCATTCCGACCCCTATATCAAAATCTCACCTATCAACCGTGAAACACAAAAATCTCAATTCCGCCAATTCAAGCCTAAACCTTTCACGGACTTCCAAAATGCATTCCGATCACGCTCCTAAGTCCCAACACCTAATGGAACTAACCAAATCATAAAAATTCCGATCCTAGATTATATACAAACAAGTCAAATCTTGGTCAAACCTTTCAAATTTCACGCTTCAAACTGAGGACTGTTCTTCCAAATTCATTCCGATTACCCTGAAAACCAAAACCAACAATTTACATAGGTCTTAATACATCATACGGGGCAAGTCATGCCCAAGAACTGAGCAAAGTGAAAAAGCTCAAAACGACCGATCGGGTCGTTACAGTTATTAGTTGATTAATTCTTGGTGAGATAAGATATAATTGTATTAGCAATAAGCAATTATCCTTTAGAGAAATACATGTAGAAAGTGAGATTTTATTATAATATATAATCAAGTGAATTCAACGATTCCCAACTCTTTTAAATTATAAATCTTCCGAAAGTTCTTGTTTTTTTAAAGTAATTAACAAGCTTTAAACCTCACTCACTTTTCGTCAAATCGATTCTCTCAAATAGTAGTTGAAATATTAAAACTCTGTAGCATAGATGTTCCAATCTCTGGGACGATATCATAAACTATACTAGAATTTGACAAAGCACGAGCAGAAAATTCCTATACACATTGGCCTCGTCATGATCCAATAGCTACACTATGGGGTGATTGGATTTATAGTGAGGGGAAGTCGGCATCATGTGTTGGCTTTATTCTTGCAATGTGTAAAGATGTAGGAATGTTTGGGCAAGTTGTTGCGACCCAATACTTTGACCTTTACCCCTATGATCCAGGAATCCATGTTCTGCGACCTAATGCCTATAATCCTATATATAGGAAGAGAGTTGTTGCCAATTTTCTGTTTGCACTAATGCAGGAGTAATGAGCCAATACTTTAAGCTTGTTGTTATTGCTCTTTTGGTTACCCTAAGGTATGTCATAAGGTATAAGGTTGAGGATCCCTTTGATCGGGTGGAGTTGGTTTCATCTTGGGACACCAACAATGGTGCAGATTCACCTATATCTATATCGCCTTTATTGATGACAACTGGTCATTCTCATAGCTATGTTATTACACCTCAAAATAGTTGCGAAGATATTGCTCTATATTGCTTGCTTTCCGTTGCAATATCAAGCATATATTGCTACATTTTCTGCTATGCTCGAATCTTGAGGACAAGATTCTTTTTGAGGCTGGATGTATTGTTGTAAACTCTGTGAGTGACTCAGTAGGGCATATTTGGAAATTTGAATAATTATGTGTGGGACCCAGGTTGAGTGCAGGCAGGTGCTAAGTTCGTGAAAGGGCAGCGTAGAAAAAGACAGTTATAAATATAGCAAAAGGCGTAGAGTATTCTTTATGCTAAAATTGTCAAGCGTTAGCTCTATTTTCCCATCTATGCTCTTCTTCTGATACTTCTCATCCCTTTCTGGTCATCCCTCTTTTATCCCTTTACTTTCTAGCTGATTGTTGTTCCTTTCTGTCAATATTTTTCATTTTGTGTAATTCAGTTTAGTGAGTATATAATATATAAGTCTGTGTGTTGAGAATTTGGTTTGTTTCACATTGTGATTCGCGAATAACAAACTTTACTTTAAAAAAAATTACCTTATTTTATCAAATATTCTCATTGTTTTGACTGATTCAAATTTGTTTCGAGTAAGTCCAAGCAAAGCCGACACCGAGCTATTCGGTACCTTTTTCATTCAAACGGGAATGACTCCACTCTTAGTCCCAATGTGGCTTAGACTAGTAGAAGGCGTAAGGATGCTAGACGGCGTATAATATTGTAAATCAAATTTGCTGCAATAAAAATTCTAATTCAAACCTATCTCGTGCTTCCTCACAAAAGGTGCCTATTTCCAAGTTTCACACCCAACACCTCCCCTTAGAGATGGTCTGTGGAAAAAATTTCACTTATCACAACACTCGGTGATATTTAATCAAGTATATAGATTTAGATAGATATATAATCAATTATAGAGAGCAATGGATTTAAATAATGAGAAACATAATTTAAACCAAATCCAATAAACAGGCATAAGGATTTAGGAGTAATTCACATCTTTTTCTTCCAATAGGAGAACTTTGAGAAGTAAAAACAAGCCCTTCCTTTTTCCTTTACTTGACATAAACACCCCGTTCCCTCCCAAACTTATAATTTTTCTTCTCCTCCAAAAACCTCTTCTCTCCTCTTCCCCCTTTTTTCTCATGGCTTCCGTTACGATTGATTCTTCCTCCGTCACCGTCACCGTTTCCGACGGCCCACTTCATGCAGAATCAATCCCAACCGTCGATCTACGGCTCCTTTCTCAATCTGAACTCTACTCCCTCTCCCTCTGTTCCCCTTCCGCTTTCAACCCTCGCCGTGATGACGACGTCATTGTCCCTAAAATCGACCGTTCTGTTTTCAACGAATCCGCTGGGTCCCGCAAACAAACTTATTCCCGTCTCCGCCTTGCCCCCGCCTCCTCCGCCTCCTCCTCCTCCTCCTCCGCCCTCCGTAGCCGTACCCCTCACCTCCGTAATTCTCTTCACAATCCATCATCTTTTAACAACGACCCGGAGAATTCCCAAATCGTTTCCCTTCTTAAACAGCTATTCGGGTCGGGTACCGAAACGAATCCCAATCCCTCCGATTTGATACCTATCCGGGTCGATTATTCGGACTCGTTATCCGTGCCCGTACCCTTGACCGGGCACGTGCACGTGCCCGAGTCGTCCAATGTGGGTTCAATTGGGCAGAAAAGAAAACGGGGTCGGCCTAGGAAGAATGAGAACGAGAACGAGAACGTCGGGGTGGGTGGAGGTGGGGGTGGGGTTGATAAAGGGACTGATGTGGCAATAAAGGACATTGTAGTTTATCAAAATGTGGATGATAATAGGGATAGGGATGATAAGGAGATGTTGAATAAGGATGGTGAACCGGTTGATTTGACGGTTCTGGGGACGTTGGAGGATCAGTTTGGCGAAGAGCTGAGGCGGAGGACGGAGGGATTGGGGAGTTCAGAGGAGCTGTTAAGGTTTCTGGGGAGATTGAATGGGCAATGGGGGAGTACTAGGAAGAAGAGAAGGATTGTGGATGCAGGTGAGTTTGGGAATGTGCTGCCAAAAGGTTGGAAGCTTTTGCTTTCTATTAAGAGGAAAGAAGGCCGTGTATGGTTGCATTGTCGACGCTACATAAGGTTTTTTTGTTGGAATGTTGTTTCTCTTATTACTTATTGTTGTTACCTTGTTGATTTTCTTGCCAAGATTGTTTTGGTAGATAGAATCAATGCTTGTAAGGAGTCCTATTAAAACCAAGAAATATATGTCTGCCAGCCATTCACACCAGAATAAATATAGTTTTCCGAAAAAACCTACTACTGGAGGAAGACCTCCAAGGGATAAAGAGAAATGGTGTTAAAGAGTGAGCCAAAGAAGGATCCTTTGTGTTAATCATGCATAATCTCGAATGTTAACCGTTTCAGTACATAGACCAAATAATAATGGTTAGGGATATTAGAGAACCCTAATTTGCCTTAACAATAATCTTTTAATATTGAGTAAATGCACTTGAATAAAACGGAAGGAATATAGAGGATTTCATAGAGCTGAATCTTACTAATTTAGGATTGAGGCATAGATGATTGATTGATCATTTATGGTAGGCTATTGGATCTTGGTTTCTCTAGGGGGATGATTCCCATCAAAGCTTAATATAAATGATATGAAAATAAATGAAGTGGTCCGGTAGTGACTTTTCATCGGGAGGTTGAGTTATACAATTAGCATTTTGTTTCTGATCATATTTATCTTGTAATTATTTTCTCGATGATAGATTTCTTTGTTTTGTATAGACTCCTTCACTTGTGCCTAGTGCAACTTTATGAAAGTTACTCTCTCATAAAGACATCATTTCAACAAATTGTCATTAAGGATAAAATGAGAATGTTGGAATTTTAACTTGATATAGAAAGGTTGTATTCTTTTTTAAACAGACATAAAAGAAAAGTAAGACATATAAATAGAAACAAAGGGAGTATTTTCTTTGAGATAGGATCATGATACTATTTTGTGTATAAATTTAAAAAATGAAATTATTTGTGTATTTTGAGTTTGTCGTAACATAGATGAAGGAATTTGTAGGATCCTACTTAGTAGTGATTAAGTAATACAAAATTTTACCTTCTCTCTACATATGAAATGAAAACCAATTGTAAATTCCATCCCTGCAAATAAGAGGAAATATTTGTCTAACAAGCAGGTAGAGCATTGTCCGTTTATCTGCACTTCTTGAAATTAATTATTTTCTCTAACACTCCAAAATTTATCATTTGCCAGTAATCTCTAACTTTATTTTTCTACTAAGTCATGCCTCTTTTGTTGCTGGTCTAACTGGTATCATTGATGTTCTGTTTTGTTTTGCTTAGCTCTCAATTTAAACAACAAGTTTGTCAATATAGGCTGAGTATATGTTTAGTGCTCTTAGTGCCCATATCCTGATGCTGGATGTAGCTCTTATGCATGTGACTTTCGCTTTTTTTTTTTCCACAATAACCGTGTTTAGTTTGTTATCTTTGATGTTTGCAAGGACATTTAGTTGTACTAGTCTTTAGGATAAGCGCGTTGCTCGTGTACCTTAGGTTAATGAGTTCAAAATTTAAAAAGAATTGTATAAATTTAAAATTGAAAATTGTGTTTGAGTTTTTATTAAAAAAGTTAAAGAAAATAGTACAGTTTCTGAAAATAATGATCTTTCAGTATTTTCCTATGCATATGAGGTATTTCCCTATATTTAATTTGTACATGAGTATAATTTTAGTTTAGGACCCCTATATTACACATATAGCTACGATGTTTATATATGTTTCCTCATTTAATTATATAAGTATTATGTATCATTTAACGATTATTATCGCTTCTTTTGTTTTATGTATTTAATTAGGGTAACTTGCGTAAAAGTTCATATATTTAGTTAATGTTCAATTTTATGCGTTCATTCCAGTTGAACTGGTAAAATCTTAATTGAATTTAAAGTTCTAAATTTTAGGACTTTATTTACTTCAAATAAGGAAGGGTTCAAAAATAAATTTTAGTTGATCTCAAATTCCTAAAAATTAGGCAAACAATTAAATGACTATTTTGCACAATGTGAACTCTATTTTAAAGGGTAAGAAAGACGAACGTTATTTCACTAAGGGCGTCATGCGTTTAATATAGTATAGATTATAAACATGTTCCGTCGAACAAAAAATAGACTGTTCATGAAGAAGGTTAATTGTATTTGACGTCACATATTGATCCTAACTATTCTTGGTTCGGGTTTCAAGTTGTTTGGAGGTTTTCTCAGAAGAGTGTGACTGATTGGAACTTGGAAAAGTTTCTGGGCTTTATAAGGAAATAATTTACTTATTACTTTATGAAGGTTTGGGCGCATGAAATTTGCAACAAGAATCTAAATGTTCAAATTGTGACACAATTAGTTTGGCCTACTAGAATTGTTTTTGTGTAATTTAAATATTTAGTAAGGAGAAGAATGGAGAGTAAAGAGACCCTATGCTCTTGAGATCTCACATCGGTAGATGTCATGCTGCTGTTTAGGCGTGGATCATATAAGGGTATCCAACTAGAATTCAGGATCGTCTAGGTTGGAATCTTGTTTAAGAAAAATTTAAGGCCTATGAGGAGCAGCCTATTGTATTAATTTAGATTCATCTTTCAAGATAATGCGGGTTTCCTTTGTAAGTAAAGTCTACTAGAAGTTACTTGATCTAGTCACTCCCATGACATGGCTTTCTCTCTCTTTTTATTCCTTGAAAACCAAGAACCTACCCTAGAAGACCAGCTTGAAACCACGTTAAATACGAGTGCAGGGTGTGTGTGCACTATATATATGTATTATATGCACATACATTTGCTTCCTTCAGGATCTTCTTGACCTGCATCATGTTACTGGATTTACTTATAACATCTTAAGGATTATTTTCCCGTGATCATCCTGGCCTTCATTTTCTCTAATGGGGTCTTATTATCACAATTTGCAATTACTGAATTTGTAGCTTGAACAAAAGCCGAGCTTATCTAACGGTTTACCACATGATTTTGAATTATTACTATGATGTTTGTACGCTTCTCCGTCTGTGTTATATGTGTCCAATTTAGATGGCTTAAGACACAATTGATTTTCTCAGCCCTAGTGGACGGCAATTTGAGACATGCAAGGAAGTCTCTTCATATTTGCTCTTTCTTCATGGTGAACGAAATGAAAATCTTCCAACATATGCTGAGAGTAGTGGAACTGTTGATATCACTAATACCTGTGCTTTAGTTAGTGTAAGTTTAAAACCCTTTTTTTGCTACATTTTTTCTCTTCCTCCTTTTTTTCCCCTTCTAGACAGAGATTTGATTCATCAAATATGTCTCAGACTTCAGACCTTCAGGATGGCAGCAACAATGAAGGCCCTCTTTTTCACAACTCATCCCCTGCTGTTGATCATGGGGAGTTGCAAGTTTTATTGAATTTTGGGGAACTGTCAGAGGTCCAAGTAGGAGATCTTTTGCACTGTGACAAATGCAATGTGACCTTTAATGATAAGGATGATTTATTGCAGCACCAGTTATCTCATCGGCGAAGGAGATCTAGAAATGGTCAGTCCATTACTGATGGGGTAATAATTAAAGACGGAAAGTTTGAATGTCAGTTCTGCCGTAAGACATTTGAAGAAAGGCGTCGGTACAATGGTCATGTTGGGGCCCATGTTAAGAATCAGGTAAAGACTACGGATGGATCTGTTTCAGTCAGTGTGGGAGAGTTTGTTGAACCTGTGGCGTCTAGTGGAGCCATGCTGAGGGAGTCCATAATGCAGGATTCAGTTGTTTCACTGAGGAACCTGACAGAAATTGCTGATGTAAGTTCAGATTATGGTAGGAAATTTGCACCTCCTGGTAAAATCCAGGAGGAGGATCACATGGAGATTGACGATAAACTAGAAGGTTTGGGTGAGGCTTTGAATACTGCCCCAAATAAAACTAACATGTGTTCAAGTTCTGAAGCAATTACATGTAATAACGTGGGTAATATTTATTGTGAAACACCTTGTGACTCACTGATTGCTGACGTTGTAGCTGAAGGAACAAATAAGGGTTGTCATAACCAGGAAGGGGATTCTGAGAGCTGTTCTCCTATTTCATTGAATGAACAAACATGTGTGAATACAAGCAAAGTGATTGACTGTTCCATCATAGAAGAGCCTGAACAGGAAGGTTTACTTTGTTCAAATGGCATTGTTGATCCGTGTGGTGTTAGCGTGGAAGATGGCAAGTTTTCCCCTGCAGTGGAAGAGAGCAAAGTAGAGACTGATAGGTTTGTAGATAATGAGTCAACAACTGCTTTATGCAGTAATGTCAGTGTGCTGGATGAGAACAGTTTGACTAATGCCAAACAAGTTCCATGCACCGAAGATCACTCAGGGAAGAATATTGATGTTCTGAATCGTGTACCCTTTCTGGCAGAAACATTTAAAGAAAACAGAGGTTTGAGCAGCACAGGTACCCCATCTTGTGAGGAGGAAGAATCCACAGTAGATTATGTAAAGAGAGCTTTTCCTGGTTGCATAGGTGAGCAAAAACCTAGTAACGTGATGTGTAATATAAAAAATGATGAGTGTGGCAGTCTTGTTGATTCAAATGACAATAAGCTGATTATGAAGGCGGATAGTTGTTCATTTGTTCCACATCCAGATAAACATGTAAATACTGCTGAAAAAGATGTAAGTGATGGTTCAGCTTGCTTTCTAGAGGAGCCTGAACAGCAGAAAGGTGACGAGAACAGTCTGCTTTCTCCAGCATGTGACAAGAACGGTGAGGTTGAAGCTCAACTTCTTAATGATTCGAAGACAAGTACAGATGAGCCAAAGGTAAATGAACTGCAGAGTGTTGGTAGTAATATAACAGGATTTCCTTGTAACAATCATGCTGTGCAAAAAGCTGATGCCAGTGAAATAGAGAGGGAAAAAAGTCTTGCATTCTGCTCGCTTTTTCCGGCCACGAATTTGAGAGCATCTTGTGCTGAAGATCATGATACCAAAGTTTACCAAAGCACAATTGAGGTTAATGATCAGCAAAGGGCTACAAACACATTGTTTTCTTTAACCAATGTACCAGAAGCTTCTACCAAGGAAAATACCATGAACAGGAGCTATAACAACCCTTTGAATGGATCTAAATTTGATGGTCTTGAAAACTCTAGGCATCATGATCTAAATGTTGTTTTCGGCAACTCTCATGTGGATCTAGATGCAAATTTGAACTGTACAACCTTCCAACTTGGCATGGAGGAAACATATGGCGTTCAGGCTAATCTCCTTGGAAGATTAGGGTCCGATAAACAAGGAGAAGTTGGGATTGATTTAAGTGATTCGGCTTTCAAGGGAAAAACAGGAGATTTTGAAAGTAACTTCAACACGGTTTTTCATAGTCAATTGTGGGATGAACAGAAAGTAGATGAAGTTGGTGACTGTGGAAAGAAGATTATTACTGGGTTTGGTTGTGTAGATGCCAAACCTAATGAGGATGTCATGGCTGGCAGCATTTGGAGAACGGGTGTAGAAAATGTCATGCAAGGTGACTCAGCAGACAATTCAACCTCGGTAGTGCAGTCATCGAACTGTTTCCAGACCTATGATGTTTTGTCAGATAAGGTATGCATTAAAATAATTGGACTACTTTAGCATGAGAAATATACCATTTCTGCCATGCACTTGACGAAATATGCTATTGTGTATTAGTTTCTTAGTCGTCGCATTTCTCTTTTCCAATACTTTTACATTGAATTGCCATTTTTCCCATTAGAATGAGATCATAAAAAACTTGCAGATATTTCTAGTTATGAATATTGTGTTTGTGAATTTATTAGTTCAAAGCTTTTTATTGATCTATTAACAATTAAATTTTGCTATATGGCTTCTGACTTTGATTTATACTGGGAGGCCAACAATAATTTAAATTGGTTATATTTGACAATCTTATCATTATTTCTGAACATGCTACTTTGGACAGGTTCAAAGTCTCTTCGGAGAAAATGAGAAGTATGATGGCAACACAGGCTTTGATGGGTTGAGATCAGACCGAACTGGACCAGTAGAATATAGTTTCATGAGCACACATAGTTTAAATTCTCTTCAAGAAGAGCCTAGAGCTTTACCTTACGATGTGGATATAGAACAAGGGTTTAATTCGTCATTTTGGCTTGGAAAAGATGATTTAATGCCAAATTTAGCTGGCAGGAATCAGGTGATGTTGGTATGCGTTTGGTGCAGAAATGAGTTTTATCAAGAGCCTAACCAGTTAGGAGCAGAAGCAGGTTCAATTGGTTCCATGTGTCCAACCTGCAGTGGAAGGATCTCAGGGCAGTTTAGCTTTTTGTAGAACGACTTGTCATTGACCATTCAATGATCTGCCTTCTACGTAATTTTCAGACAGAAGATTAGGTCAACGGAAGGTATTTATTCATCCCAAGCTGACAAATAAAAAAGAAAGTCTAGACTATTGATGTTAGTTAAGCAGCATCTAACCTTCCTATTCTTTTGACTGAAATCAGTCTAACTACTGACTTTGTTTTAGAAAGATAATGAGATCTTTAGCTTCTTTAGCCATTTTCTTAATCAATGCAGTCCCAAATGTCTGCTTTTTCACTAGTCATACAGGATATGGTAGGATCCATCAGTAGGACCAAAAGATTTCCTGGATTATTAGATTGGTGTTGTCATGTATTACGCCACTTTCTGCTGAATCTGTCTCCATTTGAGTTGTGGATGGAGGATGAAGAAGTAGCGATGTCAGTGGGATGGAGGATGGATGAAGAAGCAACTGAGATCACTTCATAGAGATGGCAATGTGACATTGATATCCTCCTGCTGCTGTGGTCTCACTTAGATTCTTCTTTCAAATGATTTTGTTCTTATTGCAGATGTTGATTTTGCAGTTGATGGTGATTTTGTAGCTGTCTTCTTTTTGCTCTTTGTTTACTGATGCGACTTTTGAAACATGCAAACACAACTAACTGTTTAAGTAATGAAGTGACGAGTAGGGTAGAATAGAGTCTTATGAGCATTAGCAGCGTATCAGATAATAACATTACCTATAAAGAAGTGATGATATTATTAAAAATTTTGGGAGATTTCTTTTCCCTAAATCTAGGTTTTTCTTTCTTAAATCAAGTTTTAAACCGTACAATTAATGAGACGATCGGATTTCTCAAATTATATTCTTCTCTTCGCTGCCTAGTGCCTACATGGATGTTCTTAGTTTCTAAGTCCCATTATGGTTTAGATTTTAGAAATTCAAAAAAGAAATGATAATGGAAGCATTTGTCCTATATGTACAAATCCAAATCATTGTTTGGGCTTCTACTCAAGCCGCTCACAATAAATTGGGGGAAATTACCAGCTATGTTCATTTATAAGTAGCTCATTACAAAGATTGGTCAATTGATAAAATATTACTAATATTAGCCAATTTAGCCAATTAGCTATTTGTAGCAAAAAAAAATATCAAATTTTTGCTTTGTTTTGAGTGGGTGTTATTAGAATAGATTGGGCACAACTTAAGGAGCTTGAATCTCAGTTTTGGGATGATTTGGTGAAGTTTTGAGGTGGTTTGAATTGAAAATTTGAAATAAAAGCTGAGCATGAAAAAAATGAGATGTGTATCACACTATGTATCATTTGTGTATCACACAAGTATCATATTTGTATCACATGTATATCCATGTATACCTGTGTGTGAGATACATACGTGATACATTTTTGATACATGTGTCGCAGAAGACTTTTTTGAACTCGATTTAATTAGGAATTTTTACATTCCTATCCCACTTATGAAATCTTTTTACCCTACATGTTTAAGGTTTCACTTAATTACATTTAGCATACCAAATTACCATTTATATACCATATCTAATTAAGGTTATAATTAATATGATATTTTATACTCCTTAATTTAAGCACTTCCGTTATTTGACAGTACTAAGTACTAATCCTCTCTTTCTCTCTCCTAACCCCTCATCCCCATACCCCCCACGTTCATTTGTACCCTCCCACGCTTATTCCTCCATTTCCCTTCTTCTGTAACCACTATCTTTACCTCTAAATTCAAACAAAATCCAGTAAACCCTACAAACAAATTCCTATCCTTATTTTTATTTACTTGAAGTTCATCAATGAAGATCAAGCAAGGTTCGAAAACGAGTCCAAAAAACCAACAGTAGGTGAATTACCCTCCTTTGATTTGGGTGTTTTATCCCCCAAATCACCCAAAAACCTAGGTAAATCTACACATGCACTTACAGATACTAGTCATACTTCATCTCCCCGACAAATAAGAGCTGAAATGAGAACAAAAAAAAACTTGATGTAGATGGTGGAGAATGTTCTACAGCAGTCAAACAAGTCAAAAGAAAAGGGAAAGACATTGTAGAGGATGACGACTTTGGAGAGGAGTTCCCTACTCTTCGAACAAGAAAGAAATCAAAGGTGTCTCTTGGGTCTAAAAATCCAAATACGAAGAAACATTCAAAAAGACACCCTAAAATTGTTCAGAACCAATCATTGTCGAAGGTATGCATTTATTAGTTTATTTTCTAATTTTTTTCTTTTTTGTAATTTTATTGTCTGGTTATGATGTTAAAATCTGTGTTGTTCATTTTTTTTACAATTGTAGTTTAATTGTATTAATTTTGAAGATTATTGTAGTTGTGATTTTCTGTATTTATGACTTTATTTATATTTGTAGTTTTATTGTACTTATAATGTTATTTACTTACTAGTATTTGAAGTAGAATTGTAGTTCTTTGATTTTGGTTCCTTTTTGTAGAAAAGGCTTTAAATGGTAGTTGTATCGTTAGATAGAGATTTTTGTAGTTATATTCTAGATATAATCTTAGGTAACTACTACAATTTTGAAGCACAATTGTATGTTAGGCTGTATTTTTTAACAGCAGATCTGTATTTATTGTTTCTTACTCATGTCTTTTCATATATGTTTGTATTGAATTTGTAGTTAGATGTAGTCAATATGTAGATTAATGGGTAATTTTTATGCATTTTACTTATTGAAACAATTTATCATTTTTTGCAGACTGGATATTATTTTGCCCCGCAGAATGTTGATTATGGTGTGCTAAGATTCCACACTTTGTGTGATCCAAGCATTCCTAGTCAGATCAATGACTTATTGTCTCCTATTGGTTTAAAGGCTTTTAAGAAAACTTGTTTTGGTTACTTATTGTCTCTCCCACCCATTGTTATGCAAAACCAAACTATTCATCTCCTCATGAAGTATGAATTTTCTACTTCTAATGACTCATTTTTTTCAGTCAATTTGAAGGGTGAAAAATTGAATTTGGGTTGAGGGAGTTTGGTTTAATTACTGGATTTAATTGTGTCAATCAGTTTTCAGATTTTGGATACACTTCTTGTTATGTAAGCAAGCTAATGAATAGTTATTTTCCAAACAAAAAAAGAGTAGAAAAGTGGTATCTAAAAAACATAGTGACAAATAAATCTTGGGTGAATGATGAGGAAGCTGTAAAGTTGTGTATTCTTTATCTTCTGGAATTTTTTGTTTGTCCTTCTGACAAAGACCATGTGTCCTTTATAGACAACTTTAAGTTTTATTTGGTAGAGTCCGGTCATTTTCAGTCATACCCGTGGGGTATTAAATCCTTCAATTAGGTTATGGAATCAGTTAGACATCGTCTAAATCCCCGTGTACATTCTTATCTCATACGGCGATGCTCATTAGCCTTGTAAGTGTGGCTATATAAGTGTTGCTCGACTGTGAGCACGGAGATTGCTACGAGGTCTTCTGACTCAATACCTCGTATGTTAAGATGGTCAACTTCTAAGGGGCAGATTTGGTTAACTGCCTTTGAAGAGAAGGTCATCAAGCCTGAGTGGATTAAGGTATTTTTTTCAGTTTTTTCTTACTGTCTACATTTACCTACATAACATCTACAATTATTCTACATTTTCTGCATTATTGGAACTTACTTTTTTTTTCATCATTCAGTTCACATCCATGACTGAATGTGGAGAAGAGATTGCAGTTCTTAATTTGCCAAAAAAAATTGATTATGGAGCTGAGCTGGATGCACAGTCATCCAAATGTTGATTCTCCAACATTGGAACCCAAACATACAGAAGCTCAACAGGAAAATGAATCTGTGGCTAAGAAGCTAAAGAAGCTGCAAAAGGGAATTAAGCAGGTATTAATATTAACTACAATATTTTTACATTTTATCTACATTTTCATAACAATTTATGTAGTCTGTAGTATAGCTATTGTAGTATACTTCTATAATTCTATATTTTTTACTTGTAGGTTGATGAGAAGGTAGATGGTTTTAGGAAGGCTGTTTTTTAGGAACTCAATAACCTTAGAGTTTTTGTGGATGAATCTGTGAAGAATGTGGTGAAATTGATAAACAGGACAAATATTGTGGATGAGGCAAAGGTAATAGTTGACACATATTTATATACCAAAACAAATTATGTACACTACAAACTATATACTAACATTAAATCTATAGTTTGCTGGTAGTTCAACCAAAAATAATGACCAACCACAAGGATTGAACAACCAGCAATTTCATTGCAATATTGGTGCTCAAGTGCATGCAAGCACAAGCAACACATGTATCTACAAACTAGCTAAAAATTAGTTTTATTATTAACATTTTACCTACAAATTCCTATTTATATCTACAACTTTCAATGCAGTATTATATAGTATTATTTACCATTTATATTAAATTGAAGCTGCAGTTTGTCAAGAACATGTTCCAGCACATGGGGACTTATATCCAGATTTTCAAGAAGCAGTTGAGGTTGAACATGCAGGTATAAAATCATGCTGTCATTCATAAAATGTAATTTTTCTTTATACTATTTTACATTCATGTTAAGTAATATATGTTTTATGTAACAGATATTGATAATGTCAATGTGTGTTCCCCAATGCATGGAGTGACAGTAGCAGCTGAAACAG